TCAGTATTTATTTAGTAATTTTATATGTCAGAAATCCTACTGGGTGTTTTAATAAAGAAATATATGTAGCATTTTTACAGAACTGCAATGTTTTTTTTTAATGTTTGCAAATATTTTAAAGGAGCTTTTATTAAACAAACTATATAACAAGTAAACAATCATATTAAAGGACATTAAATTAATTTCAATGTCTCTGTTGTAACATAACCCCTATGTTTGTTTCTCTCTGAATAAATACAATAAATGTTAAATGTATCAAACTGTTTTCTAGAACAGTTGCTGTTATTTCATTGTTAAAATTGTTCAGATTTTCCACTTTTTAAAACTGATCTTGTGCGGTATCATGATGGTTTGAGGTGTGGTTGAAACGAGCACATAAAAAGCGCGTGTGCGTCTGCGCAGGAGAGGAGCACGCGCACCAGATCTGTGCAGCGGCGGGGACAGAAAGACGCTCCGGGTGAGATCTGGACTTTACTTTTCCTTTGGGGGATTTTTACTGGTACCACTCTTTCTCATCTTTTTGGGTTTTTTTTTTTTTCGACGTTTTGAGTTTTTAATTTTGGATTGAGACTAACGGGGAAATACTCCCAGGACTTTTTGTTTTTTGAGGATATTGTGCTCATTAAACAAGAACGTGAATTTGTGGACATTTAATTATTTAGGTTGTTTGTGCTGACACAAACTGAGTGGCTTAAATCTAACCTATAATTATTTTTGAAGGGATTTTTGGTCACTGATCTATTTATCAGGATAACTATTATTATTTCTTAGTATTGTGGTTTTTGTAATAAATCATTGTTGCTAAAAGTCAACAAATTTCATATGGAGTGGTTGGATGTTTATTGTCTTAATCCAATTAAATGCTTTAACATATTTTACCTGATTCCTGTGATTAGATCCCTCTTGAGTATACTGTGAGTTCCGCTTTAAATCGAGCTGAATTTTACACATTGGTGAAAAGTTTTTATCGTTTTCTTTCATTTTAGCACGGGTTCTCTGCAGATCAGCAGATTTTGCACTAGAGAAAACCTGCAGGAAACGTTGTCGGATACATAAGTTGAAGTTTGCTGGTGTGATGCCAGTGGAAGAGGTTATGAGTCATTGTTGGGCAGAAATCAGCAGAGACAGGTGCAACAGGTGAGACTTTCCATCCTGGACCAGAGGGTCAGGTGAATGTTGCTGTTCCAGAAACACACAGTGGTTCATCTCAAGTCAAGTCAAATTGATTTCAAAAGCACATTTAAAAACAGCAGCTGTTACCAAAGTGCTTAACAATGAGAATCAATGGCGGTAATTAAAGCAAAAATAATAACAAAATGAGATAGAAGAATCAAAAGAAAAACATAAAAACACAAGATAATTAAGATACTAAATCAAATCGCACTGTTAAAAATCAGTGAAAACAGACGAGTTTTTAAAAGTGAATAACAAACAGGAAGTGAAATGGTCTGTCTGATGTTGAGGAGCAGACTGTTCCAAAGTTCACGCGCAAAATGATCGGTTTCGCTTTCATCCGGTGACGTAAACGAAAAATAATTAAAAAAAATTAAAAAAAATCACTAAGCAGACTATGAACGCATCGTAATGCCCCGCCCATTTAAAAATTCCGCTTTCTTGATTGGTCAACACGTCTGTTCGTCATCGTTCGCGCGTGCAGAATCAGACGATCCGAGCGAGCCGAACACAGGTTGAGAAAGAGGCGAAGGCTGTGCACATTTAAATACTGTTGGTTGCAGGTTGTAACCGGACCTAACACAAGCTGGTGAGGAGCGCTGGTTTATTTTTCTTCTATTTAATATTTCATTCGGCGTTTGTCCTATTAACTAAACCGAGCGGTTTGCGCCCTGGCGCGTGACAAATCAGTTCACGCTTTCAAGAGCGTTTATTTTCTACCAAAATATCGCGTTAGTTTTCGTGATTCGGTAACGTTGGCTAGCCGTAATTTCATTATGCAGCAGCGGAATGTTAAACGATACTTGGACTTCGTTTCTCCAGCTGTTATGTTTAATAGTCGCTACCACCACCGGTTTTAGAAACAAGTTATTTTATAATAATTGTTTGGTTTGAACCACAAACTAATGGACGCGTGGTTGTGTTGTTAAGCTAGCTTAGCAACATGAGGCTAATGCCGCCTCCGAGTATTGATGTTATTTCAAAGAAACACTTCCACCGTCTGTGAGATGCTTTAAAGCACAATATTTAAGTACTGATAACGTTAAAATGGTTTGATACAGACTCATCGGCCGTTTCTTGTTTACATATTTTCATAGGCACCCCCTGTCACGTGACTCGTAGCTTCTGCTCGCTCTGATCTCTGGAGAGGAGAGAACGATCAAACTGGTCCAGTTTTATGACCTGGTCAAACAACAGCTGGCCTCATGAAGGAAACTGACTTTCTAAGATAAACTAGTGCAAAGAAAAGATCAGGATATAAACAAGGCAACATGAAGACAAATAACAACCAAATGGTGCAAAACAGGAAAGTTAAGATGAAAGAAGTTATCTTCTTTATTCGTCATATGCAGGTCAACACAAGGTCAACAGTGCAATGAAATGTTCAGGATGAGAAGAACCGATTCGACTCGCTAAAAACAAATATTAAACATGCAATAAGGGTACAAAATAAAGTATCAACAAGTGAAAATGAAATATAATGTTAACAAGGTCCTAAAGAAAAATGGTTAACATCAACATGGTAGAATATAACGGTGCAAGTAGGATGAATTGGTATAAATATTTCACAGGTACTAATATTAGCTTAAATGCACATGGTATATGCTGCACATAATTAACATAATAAAATACACAGGTTTTTTGACGGGTAGTGAGTAAGATTGAATTATGATGGCAAGGTAGAAACATACATGTACAGCCACATCTCGCAGCAGCAGTAAACGTACAAGTTGTCACAGATGTGGCTTAGTGCAATATGTTATTGTCAATAGTTCAGTAATCTGACATAGTGCAATATGTTATTGTCAATTGTTCAGTAATCTGACAGCTTGTAGGTAATAACTGTCTTTTTGTGTGTGATGGGGGGCTCCTGTTCTGTCTGCTTGAGGGTAGTAGACAGAAAAGTCCGTCTACACCAGGGCTATTCAACTGGTGGCCCACGGGCCATTTCCGGCCTGCGGGTGACTTCAATCCGGCCCACCAGTGACTTCATAAAAGTAAAAATGGGGGGGGGGGGGATTCTGGTTTTGGGTTCTGTTTATTGCATTTATGATTTAATGCAATAAAATAAACAAATTTAAAAGGTAATAGATCAGTGTAAAACTTGGTTTATTTCCATAATTGGGGGCCGAGATGAGGTAGAGGCAGGGCAGCCAACCTGGGACCCGAAAGTCCCAGGTTCGATCCCCAATCACTGCACATCTCGTGGTGTCTCTGAGCAGCACACCCTATCCCCAATTGCTCCCCGGGCACCTTCATTAGCTGCCCAGGACCACCTGAGGGTGGATGGGTTAAATGCATAGAGACAGTTTATCCATTGTATTAGAACATACAGTGATGACAACACGTAACATTATAATGACTTTAATTGCTGCATGTCTGGCTGCTGGCTTTCAGAAACTGTGGCTCCCTCAGCGGTTTAGTTGAATGGCCCTGGTCTACACCGTACCATCCGTCTTATTTTCTGAGTTTAGCTTGTTGTGACTTATAATTACTAAAAAGTTTAGCAGTAAACTTAAAAACAGCATCCATCCATCCATTGTTGTTGTTACCTGCTTTAAATAACATTTTCTGCTAAATTAAAGTGTAAATACTAAGTGCTGAAAGACTAAATGAGAAGAAAAAAGAAAGCCAAAAGACGCAACACACTAACCAAAATGAGCAAAATGCTAGCTAAAATTTGAAAAAGCAAGGTAAAACAATGATGGCTAGAAGCTAAAATGATCTGTCTAGCTAAAATTAACAAATGACAAACTACAAGCTAAATGTAACAAAAGGCTAACTACATGTTTAATCTAACAAAATGCTAGCTAAAATCAAAATAGTAGGTCAAAGCTAAAAGTTGCAAAAACTAGCTTAAATTAGCAACAGTCAAGCCAAAAGTTGCTAGACTAGACTGAAGCTAAAAGTAGCTAAATTCTAACTGAAGCAAAAGGCTAGCTAAAAGTAGCAATGATAGCTAGAAGCTAAAGTTATCTAGCTAGATAAAAGTAGCAAAGGACAAACTAGCTAAATGTAGCAAAATAAGTAAATGTTGAATCTAACAAAATTGAAGCTGAAAGTAGAAAAATGCTAACTGAAGCAAAAAGCTATCTAAAAGCCAACATTTACAAACGTCTAGCTAAAAGTAGCAATGATAGCTAGAAGCTGAAATTATCTAGCTAGCTAAATTTAACAAAAGGCTAACTACACATTGAATCTAACAAAATGCTAGTTACAAGCAAAAGGATAGCTCAAAGCTAAAAGTTGCAAAAAGCTAGCTTAAAGTAGCAAAGGTCAAGACAAATGTAACTAGGCTAGATTGAAGCTAAATGCAAACGGCTAACAGAAGCAAAAGGCTAGTAGCTAAGAGCCAACAAACGTCTAGCTAAAAGTAGCAAAAGGCTAGCTACAAGATAAATACAGCAAAAGGCTAACTGCAAACTAGCGGAAGGAACTTTATGAATGCTGAATAAGCATTTTACACGACTGGGTCTGAAATCTTTGTAGATGTTTTTGATTCACATGATGGAAACTTCCACTTCTGAGGTTTCACTCGTGGCAGAGAGCAAACAGGGCGACGATCTGTAGCTCACAGGACTTCTGTTGCTGTGTCATGTGACGGTGCTGTTATTACACTGGAAACGCTACTTGGCTGTGAGTCTGTAAGGCGTAACGCTGGCGAGTTTCCTGTTCCTCCCCTGTTCGAGCGGTGAGAGTTGATCGACGGATTTAAAAAGGAAGTAGCTGCTTCTCCATCTCTGCTGCAGGAAGGGCTCAGTGCAGCGTGGGTGCCAAGGGATCCACTGCCTGAGTGTGGCGAGAGCAGCGGCCGAGACCCCAGAGACATGAACCATACCAAGGGTGGCTTGGTGATCTTCACTGCCAACTCTCACCCCTCGAGCCGCGAGCTGGGCAAGAGGATCTCTGAGTGAGTACACGAGGCACAGAGCGGAGTACACCGACATCTTACTGTGGGGTCTGCAAGGATGAGTTCAGTAACCAAACTAAGCACCTAAACATCACCAAGTCTCATAACATTAATATATGATTATAATGCTGTAAAATAATTTAAAGGCTTGGTGTTCCTGGAAGGAATGCATATTAAAATGTCTGTAAAACTGTCCTGAGTTGGAGCCATTGTTGTGTTGGATAACGTTAATTAGACGTTGTGCGTTGACTCCAACTGTTGGTGCTAAAGTTTTAAGCAGAAATCCTCACAGCACTTTGAATGTGTGTCTTGAATAACACACCGTTTGTTAGCACAATGACTACATACCTTACTGAACTACCTCCATGGTGGTGTTTTCTAAAGCCAGTTAATCAGTTGCAGAGTTGTATGATTACTAGTACTTTCTGAGGGTTTCGTTAAAATGTGCCCCGTGTTTTTGTTTAATAGATAATTTGGTTCAGACAAAAGAACAAACTCTGGGATTAATATTTCAGTCTCGGGGAATCATCAGTTTATTATTCTGGAATTCTTGTTTTACAGATCTTTTTACAGTGAAAACGTTAAACTAAATCAGCATTTGGATTATTAATCTCTTTTAGAGTCATTAGTTATTCTAAATGTTTGACTCTATATATATGTGGAAAAGTAAAAATAAAATTATTGGAATAATGCAATTCTACCTGAGCTATGGTTCTGAGATGAACTAAAGAGCTTAGTGAAGCTGTGACTAGGCCTGTCACAATAAACAATAAATCAATTAATCACATGATAAATTAAAATGATCAACCTCAGTTTCATTTATCAGCTTTATCGTTTCTTCGTGTCTCTTTCTACTGAAGACACTGGAAGACAAAAAGCTCAACTCCAGTGCTCCTCACTGACCCCTCCCTTTCTCTTTTCTCTCTTTAAAATCAGTTTTAACCATACAAAATCACATTTTTGGATCATTAAAAGCAGCTAAGCTTCAAGCTAAGCTAACATGCTGACCTCTGGGGAAAAAACCTTCAAAACTCACAGTTGAAACCCGTGCCTTCGTCTAAAAAGTTGTTTTTCTTTGCAAAAAGAAGCTGAGACCCATTTTTCTTAAAGAGACACGCTGCTCGCTCCCTCACTATCCATCCTTCAGTTCATACAGTCTTATACTGCCATCCGGTGGTCAAAAAAGGTACTAAAGTCAAAAATTAACCAACATTTCTTCTTAAATTTTCAAATTTCAAATGGTGTGCACGGGAGGACTTTAACAAGAATTTAACAAGATTACCACTTAAAAACTATTATTTGTTTGCTTGACATCATAGTAAAGGTGTGTCTCAGTTTAACTTTTCCTTAATAAATGCACTCTAATGGTCAATTCAGCTGCATTTTGCCTGGGCGGCGTTGTCCATCCTGCAGAGCCCTGAGCTCTCCAGTTTAAAAAACCAGAAGGTGTCTTCTTAAATCTGGGAAAGTTGATCAGAACATTCTAAGTTCATTATTTCATATAACAGCTGACGGCCTTTACTACAGTTAAATACTTGTAGTTTATCATATTCATACTGATTTTCATTCCGTTTGGCAGAAAAACAACTGATCTATACGTGGGTATAACCCAGTTTAGTCACTGGATCTGAGGGTGCATGCGACTTCTACACCACTTTTAAAGGAGGCAAACTCCACCCATCCAGCTGGCCACTTTATCAGCTGGGCTGCAAATGATGCGTAACCACTAAAGCTGAAATGTTTGTTGTTGAAAGTCTAAAGTTTTATTTATTTCTTTTGTCATTCTCTTCCTCAGGAGGCTTGGGGTGGAGCTTGGCAAAGTGCAGGTGTACCAGGAAGCTAATAAAGGTAAGGTGATATTTTTATTTTAATATAATGTTTGCTGACTTTAGGTTAATGTCTTGACAAATGTACTGAAAAATAAAAAATAGAAGCAGAGACCGTCAACAAAACACAAGTCAGTCACGTGTACTGTACAAACACTCGACTAATATGTTCTGCAAACCTAACTTTCAAACATTAAATAATCCCAGAAGATATTATAGTATAATTATACACGAGGTTCAAAAGTAGCCGGCAGCCGGTGAAAATCACCGTATAAAACCTTCATTCAGCGTATTTTGTCTGCTGCTTTTTGTTGATTGACCAAAATTTCCCTATCTGCCTAACAATGGAAAATGTTATTTTATTCACAATAAATGGTGATTTTCTTCCTCCCCGACTTTATCTTTGATCATTTTTGTCGATCCATGGGCGCAGCCGTCGTTGAGCACGCGAGCACCGTTGTTGTAACACCACCACTGACTGGACAAGAGGTCTCATTCATCTGTCCAGGCTTCTGATTGGTCGATGGTGGGGGCGTGGCATTGTGCCGTTTTCTAGGCTGTTCAGAATTCAAGATGGCGACTTCTCGTAACAACGGTAAGTAAAAGTTTTTACTTTTAATAGCAGTTCTGTATTATTTATATAACATTTAGCCATCTGTACACGTAGTACTTGCCTTTGTTTATAAGAGAACGTTAAAATACTGTTTGTATGCACGGAATAGCACGTAGCGCGCTTTGATTCTCATTGTTGTGACGTGGTCAGCGGTAGATGATACGAGGAATGTAACGTAAACGTTTCTTGTTTAAGTCGAACATTCATAACTGCTTGAAAATAACCAGAAATACTTTTTTATAACGCAACATTAAAAAGTATTCTGTGCTTCTTGATTTTATCTTGTTACGGCCTCGTTGGCTGATTAAAAAAAAATAAAAATTTAATTTCTGCCGTTCAAACTTTTTTGTTGGAATCACTTTGAAACAGCATTGAACATTGTTAACCTACAGCCAAACTAATCTCTTAAGACGTCCGTGACCAATGTGTGTAGAACTGTACACGGTCTGTGACTCATTGTGAAACACTGCCCTGTGTGATAAGTGTGTGTGTTCTTATTTTAGTCTACCTCAATATGGACATGAACATGTTGAGTCACTGAGGACAGTCCCTGTCCCAGGTCCTTTGTATCAGAGGAGAGACCTGAGGTTCTACCAGTGGAAAGATAACTAGTAGATCTCAGCTATTTTCACACCACAGCAGGTAAATTAGTAGTAACAACATCAGTCATACCCAAAACAATAGCAATAAAGTTATTAAAATACAGTAAATTAACTGTTGATTTTCTGTGGTTCAGACAAGTGAAATGACTGAGGACACAACGAGCAGCTCTTCACGCAGCATCCAGTCCCTCAATGGACCCAGGAGAGGGACAGATGTCCTCTACATCCAACACCCTTAAACACAGGAGGGTGGACGACGAGGTGACGGAGTTCCTGCGATGGTCTGAGGAGACACTGAGACAAGTGAAGTTTGATCAACGGGGTTCTAAGGCCTTACTGGCACAGCTGCTCTGCAAATGTAAATTTGTATTTGAGGTTTGGTTTTTGCACATTTGCACAACGTTGGTGTCATGTTTACAGAGCCAATGCAGTCCAGCACCAACACGTTAACATGTTGTGATGCTAACTTGTTTATATGTTTGGTTCTCTTAATTTTTTACTTTAATAAAATGTTATTCAAATTTTCATCACTGAGACTATTTTTTATGTTTTGTTCCGAGGTTTATTTAGTAGTTTTTTTGCACATCTGGTATACCTCTCCACTCAGGTGAGTGAATTCTATGAACCAAAAAAATGCCAAGACAATCTATTTCAAATCTCCAGTCAGTATGGTTTTATTCAAATGTATTTTACAAGATTACTTCTTTAGGTGTTCTGCCTTGGGAGATTGTTCCTTGTCTTGGTGAAGTGAATTCAATTCAGTTTATTTTTAGAGCAAGTCACAGCAGAAGTCGTCTCAGGGCACCGAACAGAAACATTCACATAGTCAATTAGTAAAGTTCTCTATCTAAGGAAGCCAGCAGATTGCATTGAATCCTCACTTGGTCACAGTCTCCCATCCTGAGCAAGCACAAAGGAGACAGTGGAAAGAAAAACTCCCTTTTTATCAGGAAGAAACCTCCATCAGAACCAGCCTCAGGACGAGCGGCCATCTGCTTCAACTGGCTGGGTTTGAGAGGACAGGAAGGAGAGACAGACACAGAATGGCAGGTCCAGGTGTATCCTTATTGGAAGACAAAAACATGTTAAGGATAGACATAATTACAAATATAAAGCAAGTAGAAATACAGTAGTCCCTTGTTTATCGCGGGAGATCTGTACCCTGAAGCCCTGCCATAAGTGAAAAACCGCGAAGTAGGAATAGTAGTACAAGGAGTAAGTA